TCTCTCTCTCTCTCTCGTCCTCGTCCCTTTTCCCTGATCTTCCTTCCTCTTTCCGCGCTGCGTTCTCCGCTTCGCTTCTCGAAGAGAATCTTCTAAAGGAATTTTTCAAAAACAAAATGTGCGATTGCCTGCGTAAGTAGCTTCTACAAAAGACATTTTGCTGGATCATCTATGGTGCATTATACACTTGATCATCGAGTAGACAGGAAGACGTATAACAATGTGAACCGCAAAGCCGCGAATCAGCTCGTAAAAACATCCGATGAAAGGTACAACGTCCACTTTCGACAAATTTGAAAATCTTCCTAGTCACCGGGGGAAGGGGGAGGGGAATAAGTCGTATCGATCCCTCGATTTTGCTTCCTCAATTAATCAAGAAATGTGCTTCGATGCGTTTAGAAAAGAAAGAAGCCTTAAGATCTGCAATTAAAAATTGTACCCTTAACAGGAACAACCGGAATCGCTGGCGTACATAAATGACGAATGCGATCTTACAGGGGTGTAAGTTGATGGCTTATGTACGATGGGGATTCCGGGGGGGGGCCGTCCGGGGCGAGATTCTGGGAAAAGCCGTTTCGCGCGTCTGAAACTTCCCTTTGAACGCGGGGAGACCGGTCGGCACATCGATAGGATGGGGTGAACGCGTGTGTTAATGAAGGCCTCGAACGTAACCAATTGTTATTAGATCGGTCACTCCCTCGACCCCGCCGCATCTCTATTCGCCCCTCGCAAATAACCCATAAAATGAAACATTTCCGTATATCAATTACCCCCACTGCACCTTCGCAAGGGTATACTCGACAAATGTGATGCCGAGATACGCGCCTCCGTTCGTGGGACTTCTCGGCTCGGTCTCGTCCTCTCCCCTCTTGGGAGAAACATTTTCAGCGAAAACGGAAAACGACGGCGCTTGAATTTCCTAAGAAAATCATCATAATTTTCACAGCTCATGATTTCACCGCTTTGTCATTTGAATTGAGCCAAGCCGTCTGCCCCCCCCCCCTGTTCAACAATTGTCCAACGCACTCCCGTTCAATTTATCGGGATAGTGTAGAAAATATAGGGATTTCGTGGCTGCTCCGTTTTTTTTTTTTTGTTCGAGAAACGAGGGTTGGATTCGATCGTGCCGTGCACGTGATTTTTATCGTGAGATCTGTCGCATGCTTTTCTCCGCGCGGGAAACTCGCGCTACGTACGCGAAGCGAATGGCTACTTTGACTCGTTGAGAAAGCAACACGCGATGGCCACTGTTGCTCGTCGCGGTGCTACTTCGCCACCACTACTTGAACGAGTCCGCGGTATGGCGCGGCACGGCGCGACGGCGGCCGTTATAAAAATAACTGCTGATTGGACGCCCTACCAAGAAAAGTCGTAATCGCATCCTGAAACGTTCCCTTCCTCCTCTCTCTCTCTCTCTCTCTCTCTCCCCCCCTCCCTCTCTCTCCTCTCTTTGTCCGTCCCTCTCCCTTTCTCTTATTTCCCTTTTACTCTTTCTCTCCCTATCCTCTCCTTTCTCTCGCTATTTTATCTTCCTGAGCATTCACTCCCGCTGTTTTGTATCGCCCCTCCCTTTCTCGTCAATCTCGAGGAATATTACATCGCGTAAGACGGATAAGCGTATAACTTTGCGAATCCATTTCTGCCTCTTTAAGAATTCGAAAAATTCGACAACTTATTAAGTACGAAGCAGCGTGATTTTTACGTATCTTTTTTCTTTTTATTCGATTCTTTTACCTTAGTCCGCTCATTGAGAGACTACTACGCTACTTATTTCGTCCTTACGCGTCGTGATTCGTATCGAGAGAAAGTTGACGCTTCGTTAGAATATTATTGTATCGCGAGAATATTTCACGAAGGAATTGTAGCGATGAACACAGCGAGAGGAAGATGATCCGATACTCGGTGCATCGGCTGCCGCCATTCGATTGCATTTTCACCGAGGAGGGTCTCGCGCTGATGCAAGGGAGACGAGAGGGAACCGAGTATTGGTCGCCATGTTGTGCAGCTTTTATCGCCGCGCCCTACATAGGAACATTAAGCGCGGGTTGCCGGGTTGCGCGTATATCAACAATAATTGCAGGGCCAATAATAAACCCGAAGGGAGCACGCTCGATAGCCCGAAATTGCTGGTTCCCCTACCCCGGGCAGCGCGGTTTTATTGCCTCCTCTCGTCGGTCAGAAATGGCGGCAGCCCCCTTCATCGTCCTCGATGGCGGATAAACGATCCTGCGATACGGCGCCGCGCCGCGCCGCGAACGTGCGCGCTTCTCTCCTTCTCATTGTCCGTATCTACGTCTGTGTTGCTGTCTGCGTGTCCGTACAACGTGTTCCCGCGTACCGAGGCATCTCTTACAGAATCGTTCGCGAGCTCGTAAAGAGCCGCAAAAGCGGGCTCCGCACGCGCGATAGTCGCAAGTATTGCCCTTGTTAACGCCCTGTTAACTCGAACCTTTGGACAAACTCGTAAAATTCCACCGGCTCCGTGGAAAACGGCGACCACCACCGTCTGCGGCGAAGGATCGAGTTATCGACAATTTTCGAGCCTCACAGTCTTGTTGGGACGTAAAAAAAAAAAAAAAAAAAAAAAAAAAAAAAAAAAAAAAAAGGAAAACA